GAGTCAAAGGGTCAGTGGTTCAACCGGTGGGTCGACGGTTCAATCGGTGGGTCATTGCTTGATTTTAATTTTAATTAAATTGTATTTTTGAAATAAAAGGAAACCATTTTCCAAAATATAATATATATGTTTTGCTCACATTAATGGACAAAGAACCATTGGCTGCCATAGTGGTTGTGGAGTTGAAAATTTCCCTTCATTGTCCAATGTTCGAATCTTAGCTCCAGCACATTTAGCACAAAATTTTACTTCAATTAGGTAACCGTCCGGTTCACACATTGAACCGAATCCGATTCCACTTGAAACCGTCCAGTTTGGACGGTTAATTAGTGGTCTAACCGGTTTTTGACCGGTTCATGTGCTTACTTGATAATTTAATGCACCTGGACCGGACCATGGTCCGGGTTGGCGGTTTCAAGTCCGAACCGGCCGGTCCGGGTTTAATAACTATGGATTCAACTGAGATGCATGTATACTTTTATCTATTGCCCGTTTAGTGTCTTAAATATACAAATGTCATCATTTTGTGTTTAACTATGATTCTTTTGTGGTGTCCACTTAAGTGACAAATTATTGGCAACCATTTTCCTTCAAGTTTCACGTGTGATTGAAGAGAAAATTGGCCTAATTGTACATTGACTTCACATGTTTGCTTGTATTAAATTTTGGAAAGAAAAAAGGGACACTCATCAATCATAACTCTCACATTTATAGTGTCATATTAGGAGAGAGAAACCTCATTTCAACGTACATGACTAAAATTACGTAAATTGAGGCTGATAGAATAAATATAGCTCCTTTAATTATAAAAATTGCCCCTTATTACATGCATTCTTGGCCAAATCAGCTATATTACACAAATTTCATCTCAATTGGTGATATGTGATCAAAAATAAGCTACAACATCTTCACCATAAATTGAACCCCTTTCATAGTGATATACAGAGTCTTTTGACGAATACACGCTCATTACACTATTCCTCTCTAAACCTTTACTCTCTCCAACACACACACACACACAAAATACAAATATTATATACACACATAATATACACACACATGTATATATATAATATATATGTACGCGCTCACGCAATCCGAGATTTGAAATCCAACCATCAAATTTTCTTCATCTTTTGAATTATGATAAATGCTATAATAATTAATGTAATTGTATCAATAAATTTACTTATAATTATTCCAACTTTCTTTCCAATCACACGTGAAACCAGTGTTCTAAAATGCGTAATGCGTTGCGATGCGTCGAGTCCGAGAATCAAGAATCACAAGTTTAGGCGTGTCAATGCGAAGAATAAGCGTCATAATGCGTTTCGTATTTTTAAGGCATTAAATATATTTTTATATAAAAAAATAGATTTTTTACAAAAAAAAAAAAAAAGAAGGAGTNAAGAATGCGACAGAAAACCGTGAGAGCAGGCCTGGGCAATTTAAGCTAAACCGAACCGAAACTAAGCAGGAACTAAGTTCCAAAAAAAATAAAGTAGGAACTGGAACCGAAAATCGAGAACCAATTGAGTCCGAATCAGTTCTTAATTCTTGAACCAGAATCGTGGATACCTGAATGGAACCAATATTTATATTATTTTTTTGTCTTTTACAATTTATAAGCTAGGTAAGAAGAACACAAAATCTAAAATTATTTTGGGTAGTAATTTATATAAAACTCTAAATTCTAATCCTAATAAGCCCTTGTTTGATGGTCATTATTTAGGAAAAATAATATTTTGAATAGTAGTTTTTAGGAGAATGTGTGATTAAAAAGTAGAAAAAATTTGGATTTACGTGCAGAATATTTCATTTTATGAACGTGTGGTTAAAAATGAGTGTATAAAAAATAGTTCAAATAATGGCCATCAAACAAAGGCTAAATCAAAACTAACTCCTACTTTTTTGCATCTCGCCCCATATCAAATTATTGCATTTTAGATGTTAATACATGTTAATCTTTGTAATTTGGCCTTTCTAAATCAAAATTTAGATTTGTGGTGCAAGTTGATGAAACTAAGAGTTCATCCTTCGCAATTCGAGCTTTTTACTTTCTTGCATTGTTTACAAAGTTGTGATTTTTTTTTTTTTTAGAACGCGTGGCAATTGCTTGCTATATTCATAGCTTAGGCTGTAATGTACCTTTTTTGTTATTTTGAGGGAGTATCTTTTATATAACTTTTCTTGATACTACATAGTTATGTATATAATTATTATTATTTTATATCGATTCGTTTTAAGAGCATAAGAATTTAAGCATTGTCCATAATTAAACTATAGGTTCTAAAATGCCTAACTTATGAATCAAATAAGATTTATTGAGAAAAAAACATTTATCCTCAAACTGTAAATCTGTAATTTACTTCTTCATGTTTTAATTTTTTCCTCTTTTCTTGGTATTTAGTCTTCACTATCTTGAGTCATATATCTACATATCTTGACTTCTTGAAGATTTTTTAGTTGAATTTTGCTCATTGCACAAATATTGTCAAATAGTAGCGTGCTAGGTATACGTATCGAAATGTTGTATATGAAAATATTTATTAAATATATATATAAATATTCTGGGTAAAACCAAACTCAAACCGGAACCAACGGTTCGGGTTTAGGTTTGGTTCCAGTAATTACAAGGAACCGAATAGTTCCAATTATGAAATACCCGAAATACAATGGGTGGCCCTGAGTATTAAAATACTTGGACCGACCCACCTAACGCCCACACCTACGTGAGAGGTAGGAGGGTAGATTTCCCCCCAGAGTGAACAATGTATATGATATAACAGTTTGGACACGAAGCCTGAGTCATTACAAAAAAAGGCAATTTTTTTCACGACCCGAGCCTCGTGCCCAAACCGTTATATTATACATATTATCCTATTTGGAAGGGCATCTACCCTCTTATCCCTTACGACTTTTTGTCGCGTCCCCTAGAATTCCAATCCAAGATTTCTACGTTATAAGAGACTTAAGTTGAATTCTCAATTGTTGCCCAATTGGTACCAAGATTCAACTTAAATCTCTCATGTGCATAGTTCTTGGTTTCGAATCTTTGGGGAACGTGATAGAAAGCGATAAGAGGTAAGAGGAAAGATTCCCTACCAAAACAGACAGTACGTAAGAGAACGGCCGGGCACGAGGCTCGAGTCGTTACAACTCAACAGGTTGATGTCAGGCGAACATATTATTTCAACCATTTTATGTTTCTTCTTCATTCATATATGCTAAGGGCATTCACCATCTACCACTTCCCTAACTATCACAGTTCAAAACAAATCGGTGATAAAACCATGTCATTATGCATACAAATATGTAACATGAAATCTAATTGTATACATGAAATGCCCTTTAGAATTTCTTAAACCAATTGACTCCAGATTAATGAAAATAAGAATATAATAATTAACACAATGCCATATGAAAAGAATTCGGATTATTAATTTTCTCTCTCTGAGTATTGAATTTGTTAAAAATAAATAAATCTGATTTCATTCACTTTATATGTCAAATTACATTTCTTTGACAATGATAAGTAACAAAGACTTTATGTGTTACTTATTTTGAACAATTACTGGAATAGAAATATGTCAGAGCGAGTTCTAATCAGAAGCTTTTTTTCGAATTTGAATATATCCCAAGCATGGCACAGCTTACATCTAGTTCAGTAAGACAAAGCAATCACATTTATTCAAATTTTATTTGATAACATGAATTAATACTTAAAAATAGACGAACCTTCGTGTGGTGTGACGTAGATACGGGAATTCCTTTAAACGCACCCGACACGACCCCACCAGTAGCAGCAGAACTCGGACCAGACCCAAGGAGCGCGTGCTGCAAGTGAGTTGGCCTAAAATACCCTGAACTACCATGACCTAGATCTGCAGCAGATAACACCAAGGGTGGCCTCGAGGTGGATAGGGCCGCAGGCATGGTAACGGGTCTCGGAAGGAAACCTCGGCCGGAGGAAGCGATGGGGTAAAGCAGCGGTGAGGGGTCTTCTGGGCGAGGGTGGAGGTCGGATTGGGTTGGCCGAGGAACTAATTGAGCGTAACTGGGGTTGGGATTGGAGGGCAATTGTCTTGATGGGGATGAATAAAAGGGGTGAGGTTGGAGGCTGGGAGTTGGGGTGTACGTGTGGGGATTAGGGGGTCTGGGGTAAGGCAACGTGTGTCTTGTTGTTGCGGCAGTGGATGTGGCGGTAACGGTGGCATTGGAGGCGGAGGCGGAGGCGGTGGGAGGACGGTCAGGTGGTGGAGGAGTGGTGGAAAGCGCCATGGAGATGGCGGCGAATAGTGGCGCGAGGGTAGTGTTTCTGAGAGGGATTAATTTTTAAATTTTTGAGCAGCGGTAAGGGCAAAAAGTTAACAACCAATTCTATTTACAGGGGTGATATACGTACGAAAGTCTTCTCACATAAACATACAAGATGAGCTGGGAAGCATTAGTTTAAAAAAAAAAGAAACAGAACACGTTAAATTGAAAACGCAATGCGCCTTCACTTTCCCTTTCTCCACACCAGTTTACCTAATGAAGTTCCCACCAATCTGAGACCCTAAATTCTCATCTACGTCGTCGGCACTTTTGTCAACATTGTCAGCTGTTGTCAATCCATCAAACAACGACATCTCCAACGTATTTATCTTTGTCATATTATCAAGTGCACAAACCGCAATAAACCTGCTATTTTTGTCATCACTGTCGTCATCATCTCTGGTTGCCGTCAATGTCTTTAGGCATGGAACTATCACCGACTCCGTAGCGTTCTGAGAAGGTAAGATTTTTGGATTTCGTTGAAGATTTTATTTGAAAGTTGCAAATGATGAAAATAAGGGATTTATTGGACCATAAATAGTTTTCTGATGTTTAAAGGATGATGTCCATTTCTAAAAGCTATATGATTTTTTCTCGGATCTGAAATTAGTCGACCTATATATCTTTCCCCCTTGTAAATTTTGGATGTTGGTTCTAGGGAAAATTTATCCTCTTGATTAATAAGGCAAGGTAACTTAGACTATTTATGTAGTTGATCTTTTTGCTTGATTAATTTAGTGGTTTGTTTGAGCTTTCTAGGTGATATATATCCTTTTACGTTTCCTTCTATCAGTTTTTTTCATTAATTTCAATTTTGGTTTGTATTCAATGACCTGTGAGTTCATAGATTTTTTTTTTTCAATAGTTTATTTATGCAATTAACTTTTTTCTTTGAAAAACTCCAAGTTCGAAGAGCTCTTTGAAATTATCAGCATCTATTTCACTTATGTTTCTAGCATTTAGTGATCGTGTTGATTGGATTATTAGTTGTTCTCATGAAAGATAACTGGATGGTTTTGACACCTCATTTTTCCTTTAAATGAATTTTGAAGGAGTCTTACTTATAGTCTATTGAAGTGCAACATCATTTTGATCTATTTAAACTTAGTTAGCTTGCAATATCTTCAGCCTCTACCTGTTGAACTATGAATCTCATTTGCACTATGAATCTCATTTTATGTTTAAATCTTTACATGTGCATTCGACTAGTTTTTATACGCGTACTTACATTCATATTCTTCGGTAGGTCATTCGGTTCCGTACTACTTTCCAAACTTCCATCAAGAAGGTGGCCCCACTGGCCTATGAAGCAAGACGAGTCCCATCATCTGTAATTTCGTTATTGATCGTTGACCTCCGCATATGTAGATTTAAAGTTTAGAATAGTGTTCAAATTGTTAAATGTAATTCTTTTCTGATTATTCTGGTAGTGGAATGTTTGTTGGACATGGAAAATGATTTTCCATTTATATTGATAATTTCGTAGCTTGGAACTGCTTGCAAGTTTGTGAAATATTTTGGGTTTTCAGATGAGTTGGACATTATATATTTGGTGCATTACATTATGTTGATTTCTGGAATAGGATTTAGTTTGCTTCTGCTTGGAGTCGCACATCTCATTTTTCAATGGGACATTTTGCTTCCATTTAACTTATTCGTTACATTTTCCTGCCATGAAATTTTGGACTGCATGACATTATAACCAAATTTCTTCATACTTCACCATTTTGGCTGTTATGACATTATTCATTTCTTCTTCAGTGGTACTATAAATTAAGTCCAGTTATTGAAACAAATTGAGCCACTAGTAGAGACATTTTTAATGAAATCACATGTACATAATTGTAACTTAAGTTTATAACAATATAATTTGGAATGCAAATCATAAATTACACGATCAATACATTAGAACATGGAAGCACTTGGCCATACATAATGAACTAATAACACAAAAGCTGCCTAAGCAAGTACAGGACCATTTATGCGCGCAATCGACTCCCTTGAGTAACAACATGACTAGAAAAGTGCAATAACGAATACAACTACTCAGCGTGCCGACCCCCTTCCTTTTCCATTACCGTCTAAGGGCTCTTTGCCCTTGCGGAATGTCAATGTTTCGTTTATCAGCTATTCGAGCTAGACTGTCGAACATGTTATGCAAACTGTCAACTTCCTCTTTGGTAGTAGGATTCGTTTCTTCATCAATGGTACTTGACTCACCGCTTACTTCATCATCTTTTACCCAGACAAAGAATCCACAAACGGTACTACAAGTTTTGAATAGCCATCCTTTGTTATTGCCCTCATTTTCAACCTCAAAACATTTCTGGATATCATCTACACACTGTGGACAACGACGTTTTCTATTCATTCTTCGAAGGAGTGATATTTACTTCTAGAGCCGTGACAAACACCATAATTCATGCCCTTCATCCCTACATGGGAAACAACCACATGCATCTAAGGTAGTAATATATTGGTAGCATGAAATAGCAAAAAACATTGCAAACCAGGCATCCTTGTTACACCATTTTTATGCCAAATACAAAAAAGTAAACTAACTATGACAATTGGACATAAAATGAGATTCACAGTGCAACAGGTAGAGGCTGAAGATATTGCAAGCTGACTAAGTTTAAATAGATCAAAATGATGTTGCACTTCAATAGACAGTGATAAGTAAGACTCCTTAAAAATTCATTTAAAGGAAAAATGAGGTGCCAAAACCATCCAGTTATCCTTCATGAGAACAACTAATAATCCAATCAACATGATCACTAAATCCTAGAAACATCAGCGAAATAGATGCTAATAATTTCAAAGAGCTCTTCGAACTTGGATTTTTTTCAAAGAAAAATGTCAATTGCATAAATAAACTACTGAAAAAAAAATCTAAGAACTCACAGGTCACTGAATACAAACCAAAATTGAAATTAATGAAAAAAACTAATAGAAGGAAACATAAAAGGATATATATATATAACCTAGAAAGCTCAAACAAACCCAAACGAACCCCTAAATTAATCAAGCAAAAATATCAACTACATAAATAGTCTAAGTTACCCTACCTTATTAATCAAGAGGATAAATTTTCCATAGAACCAACATCCAAAATCTACAAGGGGGAAAGATACATAGGTCAACTAATTTCAGATCTGAGAAAAAATCATATAGCTTTTAGAAATGGACAGCATCCTTTAAACATCAGAAAACTAATTTTTTTTATCCAATAAATCCCTTATTTTCATCATTTGCAACTTTCAAATAAAATCTTCATCGAAATCCAAAAATCTTACCTTCTCAGAAAGCTATGGAGTCGGTGATAGTTCCAGGCCTCGACAGCATTGACGGCAGCCGAAGATTATGACGACAGTGGCAGCAAAAATAGTAGGTTTATCGCAGTTTGTTCACTTGATAATATGGAAAGATAAATAGGTTGGAGAGGATGTTGTTTGATGGATTGACGGCAGTCGGCGACGTTGACAAAAGCGCCAGCGATGTCGATAGGAATTTAGGGTCTCAGATCGATGGGAACTTCATTAGGTAAATTGGCGTGGAGAAAGGGAAAGTGAAGGTGTATTGTGTTTTCAATTTAACGTGTTCTGTTTCTTATCTTTTTTTGTTTTTTACTTTTTTTTTTAAAACTAATGCTTGCCAACTCATCTGGTGTGTTTCTGTGCGAAGACTTTTGTACGTATAGCACCACTGTTTTCCTTTTCCTTTTTCAATTGTTTATACCCAAAGTGCCACGTCATTTTATTTCAAATTTCCAGAATACTTCTGGTATAAAGTTTCTGTACATGTGGCTTTAGTGTTCTATTTAAAGCCTATTTTGTAAAAAAATATTTTTATTTTGTGACGTATTCTTTTCAAAGGGTGTTTGATGGATATTATTGAGGAAATAATGCATTTTAAATAGTGATACGATGAGAAATATGCGGTTAAAAAGAAAGAAAAAAAGTATTGATGTAATGGAAAATATTATTTTATTGAGGAATGTGTGATTGAAAATGAGTTTTGAAATAATGTATTTTTAAAGAATGTGTGTCAAACGGGGGCTCAATAAAATAATTTTACAAATAAATCTAAAAAATATTCTACTTTTTATTTTTTTAATTATAAATTCTCCAAAAAATCACTATAATAAAACTCGTTCTTTCAAAAAATGGTTCAAACACAACGTATATAAGGTTACGTGTTGTTTTTTTATAGTCATCTGAATACGACTGAGTACAATTTCTCTGTAACTTAGGTGATATCCTCATTCGATTAATTCCATAGTAGTTGATTTTGTTCTAACCATCTGTCACTCACGTATCCTCTCTAGGGTGGGCGTGGGTTGGGCTGGGTCGGTTTTTCCCCCAACCCAAACCCAACCCAACATGGTTGATTTCGCATAAATTCAACCCAACCCAACCCAACCCAACCAAATGTCGGTCGGGTTGGGTTGGTCGGTTTGTGACGATCTATGTACAAATGTAGAAATGTGACATATCATGGTTTACCAAAAATACTTTTCTGTTGGTAGAGTGATAATTTATAGAAGATACCTAGTTGGATCCATGGTGTTAGCAAGACTGATAAACCTTGGAACCTTTCTTCCTCTGTTACTCTTCCAA